CAAGCAACGTATATAATCATCGCAGCAATTAGTTTTCCTAATTACGTTACTTTTGACACCCTTCACTTTTTTCGTGTCCCGTTTGCGCTCTACGCGCAAAGCATACATTTTCGACCGAAGTCCGACAAACTCAGTCATTATACATCCATTATTTTCATCCTTCATTAATCCCGGTCTATTTTTATTTACTCGTGACATATTGTAAACATTGTCCTCGGTATAGTCGCTCGTGTCAAACCGATGTATATCGCGGTTCACTACATCGTATATGTCATCACATTCCAGTTCGTATATAAGACTGTCTGTGTCTGTGTATAATATTTTACAAAGATGTTTAAATTTCGGCCAAACATAATCATGATGGAATTCGTACAAACATGTTTTTGATATATCCAGAATACACATACCAACATAAATGGGTTTTCTAAATTTAATTTCCAATTTCCGTATCTCTATTGCGACCAAATGTTCCGAAAATATTGATCTGCTATGAAAATTTGGTTTTGCTATCAGGGCCTCGGCGCCGTATCTACCTTCCCATTTTTTACAATTAATTTTACGTCTACATGATTTCTAACGCTCTCCATAGTTTTACGAAAGACTGCATTATTCATTAATTTAAATAAGTTCTTTTGCGGTTTCTTATTCTTTGAATCTACCGTTCCTAGCGTAGACCCCCGCTGTGGAACTTATCGCTACAATAGGGCCACTTTTACGACTTGCTACTCATGTCAAACCAAAACGTATCTACTGAAAATCGGGAAATTTGTAAACGTTATATTTTGAAAACTAATTAAAATCGGGTGTATACATTGAAGTTTAATGAATTCATCTTGAAAAGCACTATCACATGATGTGAAAAAAAATATATAATTCCATTTAAAAAACGAAACTTGACCATCATATCTTTTAAACTAATAATGTAAATAAATTTTCGTTCACGCCAAAACATGGGCCCCCTTGTACCGTGCAATTTCCATCTAAACAATTTTTCCTATCATCAATAGTTACGAAATAAAACGTCTGTCAGACTTTAGCGCGGATACACTGTAGAGCGCTGCCTTCTCTCTCTCTTCTTCTCGACGCACAGTGGAGCAGAAGTCGCAAAAACCTGGCATTAATTATGTAGCACTTTTTTTCGGTGAATTAATGTGTGATTGGTCAATGAGGATATAAAACAACTCGAAAGAATCCAAAAGCGATCGAAGCGTAACATTTATTAATAACATAATTGTTTATTACAATATTATTACATATAGTTGTAGTTAGGATTATATTTGTAATTGTAGTCGTAGTTGTATTTGTAATTATAGTTAAAATATATTGTATAATTATTGTTCGTCTGAAGAAGTGAAATCTTCAGATGAGCTAGTTTCTGAAGAGCATATAGTACTTGGCTGATATGCTGGAGCCTGTGCAAATTCTAACATATTTAGAGCATCTGCAGGAAATGATTTTAAGTTTTTTGATGGTAGCTGTCGCAGATTGGAAATTATAGGATCCGAAGATATTAATAAAAAGTGGAAAATGTCTTCGATGGTATTATATCAAGACGATTTCCGCGAAAGTTTATTGCGAAATAATTTAAAATCTTTGTTTCTGGCCTCTTGGGTCTCTTCGCTGAGTTGTCCAATTGGCAGTAAAGCATGGGTTATAATTTCCGCACCGTGAATTAATATTTTGTGAACGGTCGGAGGCATAGGATACCACGGATATAATTTTACGAAAGCTTTTGCTGTGGCTTTCGTATAATTTGTAAATTTATTAATGTTTATCTTATATCCACTAGAAATAACTTTCATTATAATACTAATTCTACGTATAATGTCACTATCAACGCCAGTAATATTTGCAGACACTTCATGATTTTCAAAAAACCTTCTTGCGGTATTACCGTTGTTACGTTGCGCGTGCGACGGCGCAACGTAAAAAGGAAAGATATAAATTGGAGGATATAGGGTGGTTAAATTTCAATTAGTTAGTTGGAATTCAACCCCCCTACACCTTCTTTCCTATTTTAGCGCGATGGTTGGTATCGCTGCCACCAGTCTTGAGCGGGTTAACACTCTCGACAAATTAAAAGACGAAAGGCAAAATTGATAAGATGTTAGATTAGAAATTATTAGCCCTTCGTTGGGTTCGTTCAACGCTTAGGTCCCGTACGGGTCCCTCCTTGAATCTGCGTATGAGTTGGTAGGCGTGTTTTAGCTGAAATGTGTGAGATGCGTTTGAAATGAATTTTGAAACTGTTTAGGTCAATGAAGCTGGTTTAATTGTGAATGAAAAAAAAATCAAGTAATTAGTAACGGAGAAATGCCAAAATTGAGACTTTTATAAATTTGGAAAAATTCGTTAGTGTAGAAAATACCAGTTTATGCAAAAATGTGAACAAGGGTAAAGTTGCTTAGAATTAATTAACAAAAATATATCAATATGAAAACACTCTAATATCACAATTGAAACTATTGAGTTATGTACCGGTCGCGTGAAATGATTATTACAATTTCGCTTTCCTAAAGTTAGCTGTAAAATCGGCGGTTTTCGCCCGTGGTACACCCCAGCCTGAGATACTCTCGTAACTCTCGAAAGAGCTGGACTAAGGTGCCCTTTTGATGATGGAAAAATTGGAATTGCGAGATTGTAATAAACGGAAAAATAATACTGAAATCAGTCGATACCTCATACGGTGGAACGATCTGACCTGAGACTCTCTCGTAACCCCGAAGGGCTGGACCAGATCGCCCGTTTTGCCAATTGATAACGTCGTGATCGAAAAATGTAATGGAATCAACTTACCGTTACGCTGTTTAATACAATACAAGATTATAATTTTCGCTTGCTAAGATTCGCTTTGTATTCGCTCGATGATCTGGAACACCAAAGAACGGTAGGATTTCGATCACTGCACTTGTCGCAGCGAAACGAATTAATACGGACGAGTACGTCGACGAGAGACAAACGAATAACGAGAATTACGAATTACGATTAATATAAATTACGCGAAATGAAGTTAATACGGAAATACTACGCGAGCAAACGATTTAAAAACAGAAAGAAAAGATAGAATATTAGAGAGAAGGAAGGTTTTACGTGCGCGTCTATGAGTCCTTATTCAGAATTCCGATTATTTTAACTCGCACGGCACTCTGCCTCGCTACGTGGAGGACTTTACCGCAGAGAAAATATCGCGAACTTCCAAATAACTCTGTCTCTCGGACACACGGGCTCCCGATCACGTGCTTACGATTGATCGATCAAGAGTGTCAAATTTCGTACGCGATCGATGGTCGAAGGGCCCGTCGCGCGAACATCGTCCTTGGAGGGGACGGTTTGGCGAATCGTAGTTCGTTTTCGGAAGCGTCGCGTGCCCGGTGATTGGCTAAGACACACGAGCTAGACGAAGATCTTTCATCCCCTTTCCCTGGTGTTCCTTTCTTTTCTACTTCGTCACCATGATAGTTTCAACGGTTTTCAGAAACTACGCAGTATTTCTCTTTATATGTATAATTAATTAATTGCATTTAATTGAAATATAACTATTGATTGGATTGAATTGTAGAATGAGATTTGAAATTGAAATATACAGGTTTTGATAGAGGAAGCCGTCATCCGTATATTATGATCAAAATTATTCGCTTTCCTGATTTTCCATAAAGATAGTCTGATTTAATAGGTTTAAAAGCGGACGATGCGTTTACGGTGGTTGTAATGCCGTTGCGAATTATGCATTTAACAACAATCTATCGCACATTAGCTTCGATGAATTCGGCATTTCGTATTCTATGAATTTTAAACAATTTTCAATCCGGCGAACGTTCCTTCGAGAACGTTCCTTTGTTCAAAATTTGCCGTTATCGCTAGGCAGTTCTTAGAATTTCGATACAATAGTGTTTATTGCTTCGAGCGGCGGTCGAACGTTCGCGACGTTCGCTTTCGTAGAGGTTCTCAATTCTTACTTTCATTGTTTAAATTCATTTTCATCCATCCACTCTCTCATACTATCGTTACGATCAGGTAATGGTGATCCTTGTTGGACCGGCTGACGCTTTGTGCAATAACGAGAGAGAGAGCGTTCTACAAAAGAAGTTATCACGGTTTTCCTATTTCTAGCAGTTAACCGGGGAAATTCCCATAATGCGAAGCACTGGCTAACTGCGTAGCGCTGATGTTTATGCTAACGTCTCTGTCTCCCTCGAGTGAACTCGAGTTTTTTTTGTGCGTTGATATATTCTATAGCTATTACTATGGTTGACGACGATAGTTTCAAGGAGGGTCACGTAAACTGTTGAAAAGCATTAAGCTCAAACTCTTCCTTGTACACCCCTGCATGAGAAATCCTCGTAACCTTGAAAGGCTTGACAAGAATGTACAAGGTCGAGGAGGAATGGAAAGGTTGGCGGAAAACCGAAACACCCGCCTGTACGCCCCTTACATGAGAGATTCTCGTAACCCAAAAGGGCTTGATAAGGGACGCAAGGCGGATAAATTTCAAATGAGCTGTCCCACTTGTATGAAGGATTTCCCTGTTGCACCGATTTACCTGAATGACACATATAATTAAAGGGCAACTCAAACCATTCACGAATATCATAATCATTTCTTGCGGAAATCATTGGTTCATGAGATATAGCCGAAAGATTGGTTACATAGGGTGCGCGCGCTATGGGGTTGTATTGGGTATCAATCGATAGATCTTCTTGAGGTAAACAATATTGATCGAAAGACCATGTGGCTCAAGTCAATAGTTCTCGAGATATCGTGACTCAAATATCTGCAGTTATATGAAAACTCGTGTACAGTTGGCCGAGATGAGGAAACAAGAGAAGGAGCTGGGAAACAGGAGATACTCCAAGTGGTGATTTTATTTGTATATATTTCTGAATGTAATTCCAATTAAAAAGACAATTAAAGAAACAAAAAGATAACAGAAGCAGAATCGTTTACTTTGTCTGTTGCTTGACAGGATTTATGAATGAAACAGGAAAAGAGAAAGAGAGCAGTTACTCATTATCTTGGACAGGGACATCATCTTCGTCTCCTGACTCTTCCTGAACCAGAGTCGGCTTTCCTTTCGGGAAATGAAGGTTGAGAAAAGCAGCAGGTTGTTTGAGATCTGTGTCGTATCTGCCGTAACTCAGGTACCAGATGATGCAGAGGGAGTGAGCACAGGGGTCAGTTGTTCTCGCTCCAGTCTTGCACTGACAGAAGTATCCTCTGATGGATTCGAATCCTCTCACGCTCTTGTCATACAGAACGAAAGAAGCGTAACTCTTGCCGTTCGAATGTCGCGACTGGACTCGTCCTTTGATCAGGAGTGGATCTCGCACCAGAATCCCTCTGTCCGTGAACTCTGACCGAACTACAGCTGCCTCCTTTGCTACAGACACTTTGAAGTCAGAGCCTGCTCCCCACAAGTGGTCGAAGAAGTAAGACTTTGCCAGATTCAGGCAGTAGTTTCCAGCCAGTTTCTTCAGCTCCATTGAATTGAGTTCAGGGACGTCGTTCATCTCACGAGTTTCTGTCAGACTCTTGAAGTTGGATGGTTTCTTTACCAGTCCCATCTCCGTCACGAGTTTCATCAGTTCGTTCTCCTTCGACTGAACTGCCAGAATCCGCTCCGCGATGTTCTCATCGTCTCCATCAGAGTAGAGTCTGGGTTCGAACAGATTCGTGATACAGGTGATGATTTGAAGATCGTCTGCCAGAGTCATGATGGATTTGTTGTCGAGTGTAGTTCCGATGGAGTTGTACCTCTTCATCGTGTGATTCCTGGCTTCGATGACCCATCGGACTTTGGTGCACATTCTGTTTGAGTTTGACTGTCGGCTCTCGAACTGTTTCTGTCCTCGCTTCAGGAACTCAGGCATCACGACTCTAAAACCTCTCTCCTCGAGGGCAGCGACTACATCTCGGAAACCACGATCCAGGACAAAGACATCTCCAGGTCTGAAGGTATCCTTGAACCAGTCCTTTTCCATGATTTGCTTCAGAATCGCTGCATCGTTGACTTCGTTGCTCCAGCAGCAGTCGATGTCGATGAACCTTCCGGTTGTTGTGACACAAACCATCGGCTTCAGCAGATTCCGCATCTTTTGGGCAGTGAACGTCTTCCTCTGGAACCTGAAGTTGCTGCTCTTCTGGTGGTAAATGTATGTTCCGTCCCAGATGGTTACCAACTCTCCTCGATGTCCGTCAGGGAAATACATCGTTTTTGCGATTTGACTGATTTCGTCTTCCAGCTCCTGTCTTCTCGGCCTCAAGACTGTGGGCGGCAGAGAGAAAACTAAAGCCTTCCTTCCTCTGGCAATGTGTCGCTGAGCAGTTGACTTCAAGATTCCGATCATCTCTGCCAGCAGCCGAACTCCTGTTCCTTTGAAGAGGTACGTGAGGTAGATACAGATGTCGAAGGGAGAGGCCTGAGTCATCTGAACGAGTTGCTTCACTTCTGCAACAGTTCGTCCAGTGTACACTTGAAGCGCAGCATCATCCATCTTCTGGAAGTAAGACTTTGCCTGGTCTTTCCTCTGAGAGATGTCTGCCAGATGATGAAGCAGTTGAACGATTCCGTCTGGAGTGACTTCAGAGGTTGAATCAATGACGCAGTCCGGGAGCTTCGCCAGCGCTTCTTCGACAATTGATTCATCGTCGTTGAGATGATGAGGACAAATGACAGACTTCTCGGAAATGAAGATCTTGGTCTCAGCGAAGATTCTGGCCCTCTCCTTGACAGGGACGGAAACAAGAAACGCTGGCTTCGGTGGTCGAGAGGGAGCTCTTGGATCACGAACTTGTTTGTTGCAGGAAGGAAGGTTGACGAAACAATGGGTGTGAGAGACACTGACTCGCTTCAGTGATAGAACGACCGGAGCATTTGATGGACAGGGAGCAGGAGGCGTCGGAGGAGGTGTTGGTGAAGACATCGTTGTTGGGAGTCCAGTTGCAGAGGAATGTGCGACTTCCTCCTCTGGAGGAGAAACTGCGAGTGAAGACGCTCTCTTTGTCTTCTGCTCTTCTTGTTGTATTATCAGCCGGAAGAAGGAGACTACACATCAAACGAGAGGGACCTGTTGTTCAGTGCAAACAGTAACTCGGACTTGACTCTTGATTCAGCCAAGATGCAGTCCTGATTGCGACCAAATGAGAGGGAGTCTGACAATGACACTCGGCTATTGTATTCACCCCTCGTTGCCATTTGTGTGAAAATCAAAGATATTTGTATACCAGTGTGATTGACGGCGATACACGAGTTTTCATATAACTGCAGATATTTGAGTCACGATATCTCGAGAACTATTGACTTGAGCCACATGGTCTTTCGATCAATATTGTTCACCTCAAGAAGATCTATCGATTGATACCCAATACAACCCCATAGCGCGCGCACCCTATGTAACCAATCTTTCGGCTATATCTCATGAACCAATGATTTCCGCAAGAAATGATTATGATATTCGTGAATGGTTTGAGTTGCCCTTTAATTATATGTGTCATTCAGGTAAATCGGTGCAACAGGGAAATCCTTCATACAAGTGGGACAGCTCCTTTCCGCCGGGACGCAACACCGTCATTCGTTGTGCCGAATCCGGGTTTAGGTTTATCAACGATCAAACCCAATTTAGTTTTGAATTATTGTTGTGTATAATTCTTCGTCGCTGCTACAACATTCTTATGCTCCTCACCTCAGGCTTGCCATGTTTTTATAGGTAATTTATATGCAAGATGCAGCAGGCACTCAAAGCACCTAATCCATGCGTGCAGCACAGAGAGACCAAACTCAAGATTAGTTGTGTTAACTGTTGCACTATAAACTAGTTTAAGGTTATTAAAGTTTTTTGACGTAAGTCCACATAAATAACATTTTTGGATTGATGTTGTTTCTGTTAACGCTTTGCATATCTTTCCGTCAATCATTGTTAGCAGAAGCTTATGTTTAACTACAACATTCATTCCACCCAAATTACATGTTGAAGGCTGCAACTCGTCTATCTGTTTCTGGATGTTGACCTTTTCAGCTACTATAGTAGAATTTGTTTCGGTTATAAACCGGAATCGAATGGACCGACAAAAACGGGTCGATGATGTCCGGGGATTTTGCCAAATAATGATATTATCATCCGTTGCAACGTATTCACTGCAGCACACTTGGATTGGCACTAATGATGTCATAAACACAGTTGAATCGGAACATTCTTCATGGTCAAATTTTTGTTTATATTCGCTATTTCCAGATGAGCCATCAAAGTCCCATTTGCTTATCATAACAACATTTTTATGTTGTTCCAAGTTTAGATTTTTTTAAATGTCGATTTGGAGAGACAAGTATCTTGAAACGGTATGGTTGAGCAGAGCTTGCAGTTTTGCAGTTTTGTCTGGGTAACACATTTTTTTTTGCATTCTGTACAATTTTGTACGAGGGAAATCGTAATTTGTCTTTCGATCTTATAATGTTATATTGATGACGAGTGAGTTTACTGTCAACTATCATTGCTAACGCTTTCTCTGCTGACATCGTTTGTACTGTATTATTTTCAAACTTCTTCATCGCTCTTTTGTATTCTTTTGCACGAGAAGGTGATGAAGATGTTAAGGGCACAGACTCCTTGTGCCATGACCTGTATTCGTGCACTCACACAATCAACGGAAAGCATGCACGTATACGCCATGTGTGAGAGAGACACTCGATTTCGTAGATTCCATTTTTCGTCTCGATAATTGCATAAATGAAATTTTCACGGGTACAGCACACACGGGTAGACTTCGCTACAGGTCGGTCTGGTCCGCTTGAACGCTAATAAACATCATACGTTGAGAAAAATGGAATTTTGGAAACTGTACGATTGAGACAGACGCTGTTGTAAGCAAACAACATGGCTGCCGAATGCTGCGTTCGGCTACATTTTAGCGAATATTGGACGATTTAATCGTTTTTTCACTGATAACAGAGCAAACCAACTTCCCTTGAAGTAGCACAATATCACTGAAATTCGATTTTTCACAGTTTATCACTTCTGGAAGACGTAAAATGGAATCTACGATTTGCACGCATCAGACGTCAAATAGACATAAGAATAGTTCAGTGATTCTCCGTCAGAGGCATTGATGGTATATTTGACCACGTTATCATCGGAGTCGATAAAAACACAGATCAGTCGATAAATGTAAATTCTAATTTGACACCCCAAATGGCTAGGCGAATATAGCCACAAGTAAGGCATAGTTGCCGCAACGTATTAAAACTTATGTCACGCTGTTCACACCTGTTACAATTCTAATCATCAGCACAATGAATCAGCTCGAGCCGATAAAGAGGTCTCAGAATGAAACAATACATAATGTGTGGCAAACCACAAAACTTTTTTATTCATATTTATAATCATGTTTTTTTATCAATGAAAAATATAGAGATATGCCAGAGAAATGAATTATAAAACTTGCACATTTCGCAATATTCGCATATTCTATATGCAAAAAGATATAGAAGGCGATATACATGTGCTGTTTGTGTTCCTATTTATGTATTTATTATTTACTGAAAAGATTTTGATTCCTGCCGGACATACAGAAGGACAGCGCGAACGAAAGAGAGGTAGCAAGAACGAAATAATACACATAACGTACGCGACCATAAAAGTTATAGGAATGAAAACTGCAGGACATTAATAATTTCAAGAAGGTGAATCGGAGGGAGTGAGGATGCAACAGTTTTACACTAATTCTAAACGCGTTTATAAATAGAAAACAAAGAATCGCCGGCCGATGCTCGCCGGTGACAGCTGATCACGCGGACGGTGTAATGCGTACAAAACACAGTCTGTCTCGCAAAGCCATCGGTATCGTCATCTTGCTTTCTCACTCGCACTCGTACGAATTTCTGGTCGCGAATATTCTCGCCCGCGGGTCCGTCGCGATTATTCGCCGGAGATTCGCAACAAAGGGAATAAGAAATAAAGAGATATGTACTAATTTATCATATATTTTTTTTATTTGTAATTCTTCAATAATAATTGACAATAACATTGCGCCCTCCTGTGCCGCCGCCCCGTCCTCTGCCGCCGCCCCATCCTCTGCCGCCGCCCCGTCCCCTGCCGCCGCCGCCGCGCCATCCCCTTCCTCCACGGCGGCCGCCCCATTTTCCTCGACGGCCACCGCCACCGCCATATACCATTTTCTTCAGTAATTTTTTAATCTGAAATATAATAATGAATTGTACTATAATTGTAACATTATTAAAAAAAAAAAAAAATAATCGTGTAAATTCATTTGCTACTATTGTAGAAATGATTTCTTTTCACGAAAATCGAATTTGACCACATTTATTGCATAGAAAAATTAATGTTTTTACTTACTTTCGACGACGACAGCGGCTTCTCTTTCTCTTCTTGTCTGTTTTTTCCATCTTTTTGTCCGTTTTTTCCATCTTCTTTCTGCTTCTCCTCCTCTTTCTTTTCCTGTATATTTTCTATGTCTTCTTTGTTCTCGTCTGTGTTCACAACTTCCATCTGTAAAGAAAGTAATTTATATATAAATAACGTAATATTAATGATATAATATTTTACTGGCCGATTATACGCACCTCGTGGTCTGACATCTTGCTTTCTTTGATTGTCTTTTGTCGTTGATGCTGAAACCACTCGAATGGTGGTGGGGATCAGGACCGTGTTCACTGTTTTATAAAATAGACCTTTTCCTATTTTCTAATTTTTTATTTTACGGATTACATTTTTATTTTCATGTTATATTTTCGTTTTATAATTTAAATTCATAATATTATAAATGAATACAACTTCAAAAGTTTTTTTGGTCATTGTTCTTTATTTTTCGTAGTCCTTAGAAACACTTCCCACCATGGTGCCCTATGTTTCTCCGTACTGCATTTTACGTTTTCGCGACAGTTGCATTCGAAGCAAGAAATAGATAGCATCATTGAATTTATTTCAAAGCTTCGAAAGTGTGAAGTGATCAAAGCGAGAGGTGAATATTGTGGTGTGATAGTGACAATGAGTGATAGTGAAAATGTTCTCATGATTGAAGTGATTGAAGATAGGAGAAATGAATGTGAACATCAGTGTGTGGCGGATAATAGAAGTCGTCGGCCAAAATATACAATCAGTACGAAAAGATATTCGAAAATTTTTTGTGACCATTCCTATCGAGTGCCTTTCTTTAATAGTCCTAATAGAGGTGTAATTATTTCCGCGTGGTGTTCAGCAAATTTACTATAAAAATTTATCAATCCCAGAAAACCACGAAGCTGTTTAACATTACGAGGCGGTGGAAAGTCTCGAATGCACGAGAGCTTTTGTGGATCTTGTCGAATTCCATCTGCGGATAATATGTGACCAAGAAACGTGGTTTCACGCGCTAGAAACTGACATTTGTCGAGGTTGATAGTGAGATTGTGTTCATGAAGACGCTCACACAATCTTGCCAGATGTTTGACATGCTCGTCAAAAGAGGATGAAACACACAAGATATTGTTACGTCCCGGCGGAAAATTTGAAATTTATCCGCCTTGCGTCCCTTATCAAGCCCTTTTGGGTTACGAGGATTTCTCATGTGAGGGGCGTATGGGCGGGTGTTTCGGTTTTCCGCCAACCTTTTCATTCCTCCTCGACCTTGTACATTCTTGTCAAGCCTTTCGAGGTTACGAGAATTTCTCATGCAGGGATGTACAGGGAAGAGTTTGAGTTTAATTCCTTTCTATTTTTGACTTCCTCTATCGCTTTCTCTTCTTTACCTGCTCTACCCTGGAACCGTGTATCTCGTCAAGCTCTTTCGAGGGTTACGAGAATTCCTCATGCGAGGTACACGCGAAAAGGTCGTTTCTATTTTCTACTTTTCAATAGTTTACGTGACCCTCCTTGAAACTATCGTCGCCAGCCATTGTAATAAGAAGCTAATACGCACAAAAACTCGGGTT